AAAAAGGATTATTTGGAAAGTAAAATCGGTCAAAATTATTTATTTTAGCAAGACGCTAGGAAATCGCGTTGATTTTTAATAATTTTTCGCTGACGGTGTTGTGCATTTTCTTCCATATAAAGTTTGCTCGACAATTACTTTTATATGGAAGAAAAGGCACCATCAGCAAAAAATAAATAAATTTAAAAAAATCAGCGCGACTTTCTAGTGAAAACTGGTCAAAAATGAACATTTGCATCGTTAGGTAGCGATATGTAAATTTTCCGTTCTTACAATACTTTTTCCATGGAAGCAAGAACAGCAAAAATATATTTTAGTTTCTTTTTTTTTGAAGTTTATAGCATACTGTTTACAGGTAAAACAATAAAATAAAAAGCCTGCTCTTGGTGGTCCCTTTAAAAATCTTGATGAATAAAAAATTACCTTGACCTTAAAAATAACTTAAAAAATTAACACTAATTTCTGCCGTTCTCGCGTTCTTGGAAATGGACATTTTGACAAAATAAGAGCAAAAATGTATGTGTCAAACTTTAAAAAAAATTAAGTGAATGATCTTCCTATGTTGAGTGCCATCTTTTTGGGTCATGGAACTGCTTCATATATTACCATTAGTCTAGATCAGGAGTTGCCAAACTTTTTTCGCCGCGGCACCCTTGTTGTGCTAAAAAAACCTCGCGACACCCCTACTCTTCAAATGTCTACGAAAACAAGAAAACACAATGCAAACTTTATGCTCCTTTAGCTTTAATGTGAGGACTGAAATTGTTTTGATGATTTCATTATCTATTGTGAGCTTTGACACTTTTACCCTAAAATTATTTGACCCTGAAAGCTTCCTGGTGTATTTGTTTTTAACCGACTTCACAAAAAGGAGAAGGTTATCAATTCGTCGGAATATTTTTTTATTATTTTTTTTTATATATTTTACCGCATATCTTTGGACCACGTTAACCGATTACTATCCCCCTTATTCTAGAACCCGAATTTTCGTAATTTGTAATTCGTAACTACGCTACGAAAAACGAAAAATCTACATGCTGCAACACTTGCGGAAACATGTGCAGCATTGCCAGCTATCAGTTGTTTTTCGAAGATAGCTGAATGAAGGAAAACAATGTGGAAAGGAATTAAAAAAACACTCATCATGTGCTTGTTTATTGTAAAATTGGTTAATTTTGCATATTTTGAGGAAAATTATGGATTCTGATGTATTTGCAATTATAGCAGCAGAGTAAGCGGGCGCTATGGCAATGGATTCACATAGGTATGCGGAGCTGTCGGGCATAGTAACCATGGGCGCATCTATGTCAGCTTTTGGTTGAATGGTTGCACCACAAGCCAGAACTCCTCCTATGCCTGAAGCTCTGGTTCTCAATCCAGTTAATGCAATAACAGCTTCTTCCAAGCCATTGAAAACATGCACTTTGTTAAGTCCACCACCTGTTGCGCTTGCTTCTACCTTCGGCCGCGCTTAGGAATTATAACCCTTACTAAGTAGAATTCTCCTTTCTGTGTTGCGGGGAAGAGGGGCTTCCGCATGACAAAGGTATACAACATTTCTTGTGCATATCACTCCGGCTACGACATCCATTGTATTTTTGCGCAGAACGTCGAAATTTGCAAAAAAGTGCATAGTGCAAACCGAATTTATTAATAAGCTAGTGGTAGGAAATTTTATACATTTGTCTTAAATAAAATTTGAATCCTTTGATTACACGTGTATGCTAAAGTTTTTGGATTCGGGCTATGCGTTTGGACACAACAACCGAAAATCATTGTACAAATAACTAAACCGGACCCAAGTTTCTCGATAAGGGGCAACAAAGATTCTTTTTTGCTCGTTTATATAAAGTAGTGGATAAAAATATACGTATATGCGAAAGGCAAATTTATCTGTTTAAATGAACACCACCAATATTTCTTGCAAACACACATCGATTTGCATCTTTTATTTCGCCTCCGACATAGAATTGTTTTCGTACAAAATTACGCAAAAAAGCTTACTCGTTCGTTTTTAGGCATGCCATTGTTACGAATTTCGAAAATTCGAAAATACGATTCGGATTGCAGCATACTATTTCTACGATTCGTAGCAAAATCCGAATACGAAAGAGTTGCAGAATAGGGGTGTATAATTCTTTTTTTAAAGGAAAGGTGTTACCTCACATTCTAATTTTGGTTTAAATCCGATCATGCGATCGTGAAGAGATTAACGATAGTCTTAAATTTTTGTATGGGAATTGAAGTCGGTTTTGTTTTTTGTTCAAAAATTATTTGTTTATGTAAGCCTTTGTTGAAACTGCAGTCTCACATAGAAATGTAAAAGTAAAAGTCACTAGTATTTTTAATGCAATTTTGCCAACAGCAGTGTTTTCTGCACACACTTGCATCCGGAACTCTCTTGGCTCCCTTCGTAGTATTTAAAATTCAAAGTGCTGTCTTCACTGACGTCCAGAAGGTTATCAAAAGCTTAATTTGTCATCTCAGTAGGTTTACTTTTCGGGTCACATGAAAATACCGACAGATCATACAGTGACTTCTCGTGGCGTTTTCTGCCTCTTGCTTCATCCTTGCTTCGTTTTTCCAACCCCTGCAAATATCCGCACACTTGCTCCATTTCAAACCATTTTTCTGTACAAATTTGTCGATAGCTTTAAAACTTTTGTCGCCAGTGGTGTGAGTCTCAAGTACTTCGCTTATCAAAAGTTCTTCTTCGATTTGCATTGCGAATGGGTACCTCACTAACACGAGAAGAACATTAAGTCCCACTATTTACGTCGGTACTTTCGTCAAGTTGCAAACTAAAAAATGTATAAGTTTTCAAACTTTTTATAAGTACGTTCTCGACTGTCTCTAAAATCGTGTTGATTCGCTCTTTCAAAGTTTTATTGTGAAGTTCCAAAGAATAAGTAACATATACACGTGCGCGAAGCTGCTGCGCTTGTTACGAAAACAGCACAGTCAGCAAAAAATCCGAAAACGGGACGAAAAGTGAATGAAACGCGGACTAGGTCTACAAAAGTATCGAAAATGGTTGTGAAAAGGGTACGTTTTCAGCGATTTTTCTGAAAATTTTCTGATTCAATTTTTCGTTGACAAAACGTACTGGGGAACCACGCTTAAGCGCGAAATACACCACCTAAGCAGCTTGACAAATCAAGCGAAATATCCCTTGGCTGCAAGCCATTTGTGTTTTGTATGGGGTTTGACGAGCCGCTGAAGGTAGTTTTAAAAAAATCAAAAATTTTTGATTTTCTGATCGCCATGTTGAAGTTTGATCAAATCGCTTGCGTTGTGTATGGAAAGTTTAAAGAATTTGCACACACTACTAGTATACTCTAGCCACTAGCGGCACCTCAGGGAGCCGCGGCACCCACTTTGGGAAAGCCTGGTCTAGATAACTGTTATGATGAAGTTCACTGCAGAATAAATCTGCTGCTTCTCCACGATTTGAGGAGCTAGCTTTAGTGGTAACGTAACGATGGTTTGGAGTAAGAAATTAACCCAAGTTGCTTAACTTTGGTGTAAATTCCCACCTCTATATCGAGGGCTCATATTCAATACCCTCTATCTGCAATTTTCACAAAAACTACTTTGCGATGTTAGAACCCATCTGGGACTTACCTGTCATCACTGATGGTAATTATGACTTTGCACTTTAACAGTAAATTCTGCTGTCAAGCGTTATCAAGGTCAGCATTATATCACCGACGACAGTTAAGTCTTAGGTGGATTTTTCTATCAGAATATCATTTTTGTGAAAAGTGCAGATAGAGGGTATTGAATACAAGCCCTCGATATGCATCTGTGTTCGTATGGAATAGTAGCTTATGTCGGGAAGCTGGCTTTAGTACAATGCGACATTCCCTTTATTCGTCAATCGACAAGGAGTTTTTTGATGAGACTTAATAAGAATATTAACCTGCTAGTATCGGAACTATTTCTGCACGTTTATTTGCCAAAAGTTCTTCAACGGCCCGGCACCAGTGAGTCATTCGCAATCGTATGCTGCGAATGCCACATTACACTAAGGCCAGCCTTTCGACATAAGTTACTGTTCCATACGAAAACGAGATATATTATCTAGTTATCCCAAATATGCATCATAAGACAAGACAAGCTTTTGACCAAACCAATTTGTAGTGAATGGGTTTCATTAGATTTACAGACTTTTTAACCATGAAGTAGGAGAACTGTTTTACTTAGCTAGCAAAAACCATATTTTTTTTAATATTTTAGCTCAACTATCTTTGGCCGGTGAATATAGGCATTTATTTATGATAGAACTTAGTTTTTTGGAAATCGTATATGTAAAAAATTTACAATAGTGGAATTCGCGCTTCTGTATAGTTGCTGTATTCTTCGTAAGTGTAACTGGACGAGCTTGTGGTTGTTGTTGCATGTGTATTTGATCTACCGCTAGCAACAACAAATCACACGCTCATGCAGTTACAATTACATAACATACAACGAATACACAGAAGAGCGAATTCTCCTAATATAACATGAATATGAGAAGGAGCATCAAGGGAATGTACCATATACATACATACGCACATACATACATACAATTATAAAATTGTTCATGGTAAACTAATCTCATGAATTCAACTCACCAATATCACTTTTATTAACTAAGGAATTAAATTTGAGAATTGACAAAAAATCTACAATGTAATGAATGATTAAAAATGTATGTATGTTTTAGATAAACATATTCAAAATCAAATTTGCAGTCAAACCACTTACGAATGCCCTTGAGGATAGAGTATGTACCAAATATGATTTCTCAAAAACCAAAGTTAAAATGCCTTGATAAAAATCGCAAAAAATCAAAATCAATTCAGTCGAATTTGTGGTATTCGCAATAAAATCAAATGCGATCGATGGGCTAAAGAACGTCTCAAGAAAAAATTAGTGCAATTTTTGTGTTTTTTTTTGTTGGCAACAAGGGACAAGTTTTAGTAAAATAAAAATCTAATTGGAGTGCGAATACATACCATCAGTGGGCATGAAATCTTCATAAATGAAAGAACCAGTTTTACGCACGCGCGACTCGGGTGAATAAACGCTACTGCGGCTGCCGATCTGAAAGTATGTAAAATAGAGAAAATTACAGAAATGATTAAAATAATTCGCATGAGTACCTTTCTAAATAAACGTTGACTGCCGCCACCGGCGGACGTAGGATAGTAAATGTAGATGTTGTGGTCCTCAGCCGATACAGGTTTCTCCACAAATGGCTTATTGAAAATAATGCCGTTCACTTCTACGTGGTCTTCCGATTCGATCAGCTCATGTTCTGTGGGAATTAAAGTACAAATAATAGTTCTTGTCCATCCCTTGTAATAAAGAACATGATTTTAATTACGTTTTGGATCAGGTGAGTCGCGATCCAATACAGCATAACGCGGTATTTCAATGCCTTCCTTTTGCAGTATAGCATAGACACGGCGACGATCTTGTATATCGTATTGCATGTGTAAATTGTTGAGCACATACGGTTTTCGTAGTTGTGCATATTGAATCGCCTTTTCTAATGGAAAGCCTTTCGAATGAAACGAAATCAGGCAATCACAGAGAGGCCAATTCTCTACCGGCTCCTAGGAAAGAATAAAGATTACTTTCGAGGAGATATAGAAAAACTAATGTAAATGTAAATAGTTACCTTTAAAATTACATCTTCGGAAAATATAAGCATTTTGATAAATTCAAATTCTTGTAGGCGAGTTAATATCTCCTTCATTGGTTTAGATTGCGTCTTTTTGGCCATGGCGCAGATGCCCACAACAACTTGCTTTCCAGGGTTCGAACAAGTGCTGCAATCTGAATCCATGCCGTCATTGCTCTCACCGTCGCCCTGTTTATAGAGATAATAATTGGTTTTATTATACAATTGTTTTAAATTTGTCAGAAATCCTTTCATTTTAAAATTGATTAACATGATTGATGTAAATAAATTATGTCTATGTTCAAACCATGGTGGAATAATAACAAGGTGTTGTCAGTAGCGACGTGTTTGTTGTGATTTTGACAAGATCGGCATGCTTATTTTCAGTGCTGCCGATCTTAATTTTTATACTACTATTCGTTGGGAAATAGTATCTAAAATACTCCATTTTAGTAATTCGTTTTATCGCGATTTTTAAAGAACTTGGTGTTTTCAGAACAATATTAATATTTAAAATTGCTGGATTAGTATTATTTTTCTTCTAAAATTAAAAATAAAAGATATCGTGGTTATCAATGGAAAAAAAACGTACACAAAAATCGTATGAAAAGGCGATTTTTTATATTAAATAACTTTTGCTGCATTGTCATAATATTGAGCCAAATGAACTAATGATACACTAGAATAGAGTGGCTGCATGGTTAAATTAGGAATTCGCTTATATTACCGATATTTATGTATTTTAATCTAATTAAAAAATCATTTACAGTCTTATAGGAAATTGCCTTATTTGACGGCTTTTACTTTTTTAAAGTTACAATATATGTCCAAGCTGTGTGGAGCTGCCGATACAAACATATATTCAGGCTTATAAGCCTGTAATTATCCATTTTTCTATATTTAATTTGAAATAGTATGCACCAACGGATTAAAAGTAGTAAATAATTAGTACCTTTTCTAGTACTTTAAAATGCGTGACCGGAATAGACCTGCCGAAAAAGTGAGGTTAAGTTACTGACAACACCTTGTTATTATTACACCATGGTTCACACGGCACAACAACTGAAGTATGATGATAAAGTATTGAGAAAAACGGATTTATAAGCCTGTTCCAAGGTAATCGAGGATTTGCAGTTTCCACAGGATTTACAAGAAAACTTAATAAACCTTATGTAAAGTGGCGTGCGGAGACAGTTTCCAGTAAAATCCTGCAAATACTGAATTACCTGGAGTAGGCTTTACATTAGAGAAGTGCGGTTTTCTGTAAATACTTTTACCAAATCTTATTAGCAGAATATGGAAGCATTTTAGATACATATTCCTAGAAAGTAGTGGGCCGAATACGTATGTCAGTAAAAGTAAAAGATATTCCTGATACTCTTTCTTTTGCGCTCTTTATCGTTTTCCAGCCTTTTAGTTATACATCATAGACGATTATTCATTAATAACATAAATAAATTTTATTCATGATTCAAGTAATTGCATATACGAATAAATTTTGCTCCCCCAAAAGTACCTGGAAAGTGAATTTTGTTTTGCTTGTAGGTCTTGTTGAGTAAAACAAGAATCGAAATCGCGGTAACTAAAAGGGCCCATACATACAGTGACCAAAATTCTGTGGACAAAAATCGGGAAATTTCTACAATTTTATTTTTAGAATAAAAAGGTATAACATTTTTTAATACAGTTTTATTTTAGACAAAGCAAACATAAATATAATTGAAAAATTATCGCAAACGTGTATACACACAATAGACAAACATATACGGTGGCGAGAATGTAAATAGGGAAAAGTCCTTTTGACAGGTTTTGGCTACTTTTCTTTACTTACAAAATGTTTATTATTCTTTTATGATATCTAAAAAAACCTTGTATATCAAAATTTCAAACTTTGCAAAACATTTACAAAAATTCGACGAATTTTAACAAATATTGATCAAAATTTTAAACTGTTTCATCTGATTTGAGCCCATTAAGTTTTAGTATAACAAAGTGCAAGATCGAAGTAGCTTGGACTTACCGTTGATTTTTGGCAATTTCTTGTTCGCGCATTTTCTTACATACAAAGTATGTTGGAATTTTTTTTTTGTATGGATAAATGAAAAAATTCCAAAAATCAACGGTATGTCCTAACAACTAAAAATTTACACTTCATAATAAAATGAAATGGGCTACAAAACTGCATACTCAGAATGTTTCTAATACCTCGTTTATACGAAGGTTTGAATGAAACCACATCAACTGAATGCGATTTCCAGTATAGTGTTTATAACATGCATTTCAAAGCTGATTATGTGGCAACGCTACTGAAATGGATTGAAGTCAGCTGTTAACTTGTCAGCTGTTAACAAAAGTACTATTAATAAAATGGAAAATACAAAAGTTTTTTCTTAAATCTTCTGGAATATTTAAAAAAAAGAAGAAATAATTTATACCGCTCACTTTTATCGTCTCATGAAGAGCTTTTAATAAATATTGCCAGACAAGGAGAACGACAATAAGAAAAATGTGCACCATGCAACGCGAAGTTGCATTGAACTTTTTTACGGTAAACGCCCCAAGATTCCGAGAAATACACAGGCGCCCACGCGCCGTTGAAAGCTACTGGTGGACCCTAAAACAGCCAGGTAACGAACATCTTTACTTTGAGTCCTTCCGAATGCGGTCCGCATCGTTCCTTGTTTTGTGCGAAAAACTAAGGCCACATCTTCAATCATCTGAAATAAGTGTAACAGCTCCTTTGCCAACAGAAGTGCAGGTTGCAATTTGTTTATACAAATTAGCTTCTTGCTCTGAATATAGAGTTGTTGGAGACGTATTTGGGTTTCATAAGAGTACAGCCCACAAGTATTTTCATATTGTCGTAGAAGCCATACTACGGCTGCAACTCGATTTTATAAAATTTCCACAATTGGACGAAGCGGTAATGATAGCGAGAGGATTCCAAAAAATATGTAAAATTCCAAATATAATCGGAGCGATTGACGGTATGTTGTATGTTTAATTGTAATAAATATGCAAATATAACTATTCTGTGTACTCATGTAAACATACTATAGAATAGTTTTCAACAGAAGTCAAGCAAAGAGTTGCGAAAAAGCAATGGTTAATAATAGAAACCCCCAACTTTTACTTTGTAGGTACACATATTCCAGTTTTACCACCCAGTGAAGGCTATTTGGACTACGTAAACAGAAAGGGTTGGCCATCTATTATGATGCAAACTGTTGTGGATCATAAATACATGTTATGTTAACGGTTTTAACAAAGGATCCAAATAACTNGATTATGTGGCAACGCTACTGAAATGGATTGAAGTCAGCTGTTAACTTGTCAGCTGTTAACAAAAGTACTATTAATAAAATGGAAAATACAAAAGTTTTTTCTTAAATCTTCTGGAATATTTAAAAAAAAGAAGAAATAATTTATACCGCTCACTTTTATCGTCTCATGAAGAGCTTTTAATAAATATTGCCAGACAAGGAGAACGACAATAAGAAAAATGTGCACCATGCAACGCGAAGTTGCATTGAACTTTTTTACGGTAAACTCCCCAAGATTCCGAGAAATACACAGGCGCCCACGCGCCGTTGAAAGCTACTGGTGGACCCTAAAACAGCCAGGTAACGAACATCTTTACTTTGAGTCCTTCCGAATGCGGTCCGCATCGTTCCTTGTTTTGTGCGAAAAACTAAGGCCACATCTTCAATCATCTGAAATAAGTGTAACAGCTCCTTTGCCAACAGAAGTGCAGGTTGCAATTTGTTTATACAAATTAGCTTCTTGCTCTGAATATAGAGTTGTTGGAGACGTATTTGGGTTTCATAAGAGTACAGCCCACAAGTATTTTCATATTGTCGTAGAAGCCATACTACGGCTGCAACTCGATTTTCTAAAATTTCCACAATTGGACGAAGCGGTAATGATAGCGAGAGGATTCCAAAAAATATGTAAAATTCCAAATATAATCGGAGCGATTGACGGTATGTTGTATGTTTAATTGTAATAAATATGCAAATATAACTATTCTGTGTACTCATGTAAACATACTATAGAATAGTTTTCAACAGAAGTCAAGCAAAGAGTTGCGAAAAAGCAATGGTTAATAATAGAAACCCCCAACTTTTACTTTGTAGGTACACATATTCCAGTTTTACCACCCAGTGAAGGCTATTTGGACTACGTAAACAGAAAGGGTTGGCCATCTATTATGATGCAAACTGTTGTGGATCATAAATACATGTTATGTTAACGGTTTTAACAAAGGATCCAAATAACTTTCCGCTTTTCCAGGTTCCAGGATATTAGTGTCAAACTTCCTGGAAGTGCACATGACGCGACTGTTTTTAAGGAGTCCGGTCTTTTCAGAAACTCCGCACAACTAATTCCTCAATACTCCACCACAATTAAAGGCATAGAAATTCCGCTCCTGTTAGTTGGAGACCCCGCATATCCACTACTACCATGGCTTATAAAACCTTTTACTGGAAATTTAAGCCCTGAGGAGGAATCTTTTAATTGTAATTTAAGTTCAGGACGCATTGTTGTAGAGAACGCTTTTGGAAGGCTTAAGGGTAGATGGAGGTGCTTATCGAAACGCATTGATGTTGATCCCAATTTTGTACCTTCGGTTGTGTTGGCTTGTGCGGTTTTGCACAACTTCGCTGAACAACAAAAAGAAATTTTCTTGGATTCCTGGGCTCAAAATGTTGAAAATGATGTCGAATTTCAGCAGCCGCGTGATCAATATTCATTCGAAATAATTTCTGAGGGCAATATTGACCCAAAATGTGTGCGAAATAATTTGAAAAACTATTTAGCAAGAACATATACCTTGAGAAAATCACATATTTAATACAGAACCCTAGACATTTATTTAGCCGTTAAAAACTTTACGATGTACGACAATACGACACTTACGACACCTTGTGAACCACCTAATTGTTTTCGTTATAGATTGAACTATGAATACTCTCATACAAAAACGAAAAGGATTTACCAAAAGAAAAACGTTGTTTATATTGTTAAAATCACTGTACACGGACACATACATATGCACATGTACATTAGGCATATAACTTTTTACAATTTTTGCAAATACGAAAAACGGCATACCATAGTCGAATAGAGCATAAAAAAGTATGAACCCCCATTATTTTTTTTTTGCGAAATTGCAAAAAAGTTTCCGCGCAAAACGAAATTACTTTTTTATCAGAACTGCTGAAAAAAACAAAAAAAGTTTTGTACAGTGTACACGTTTTTCTTCATAATAATAGATATTTATTTAACTAATAATCTTCCTATTATTCCAAACGCCTTTTAATGGACCTAAGGGAAGTGCCCCACCCACCCCAAACTAATTTTTCTTCAGAAAATTCTGATTCAATATTAAAAAATTTAAAAAAGAAAAAGCAATTTATTCAAGAACTCGCATAGTCAAATAATAATAACACAGCTGTGCGCGCGACAATGTCTTTACATCTGACGAGACGAGAGCGTAGTTACATACTTCTTCTCTTTTATTTAATGTTCTCTATGCAAGAATGATAAAAGAAAGATTACGATAGTTGAATGATTTCCCGTTAGATGACGAAACAAAGTTTTACTTCAGTTGTGTGATCTTAAGCACATTTGTTTTATCATTCAATTTAGAAATTGAAATAAATATTTCAAATCTGTTTTTATCGGGATAATTAAATATTGTTTGTGTAAAAATGTTTAAGACAAGTGCTAAAAATGTTGAAAAGTATTATAATACGGGGAAAGAAAATTTAGCTAGCAAAACACATACTTTAAACTTAAAACTTATTTCATATAACAATTGACAAAAATGTAAAAATAAAAATATTAAAAAAAATTAAAAAAAAATCTGACTTTTTTTAGAAATCCATTTTTGCGCGGAACGTTTTTGAACCGAAATCACATAAAAAAGTGATATTCATTACTTGTACAATATTTGCCACCACGTGGTGGTATGCCAAATTTTTCGTCAACATTTGTTATATGCCTAATGTACATGTTTTATATTTTTGTAATACAAACGGGTTGGCAATGAACTGAAATAAACGAATTTAAATAAGCTCCAATGCTTGAATAATATTGTTAAAGAAATAAAAAGATAGTTCATAGCTTTCTAATGGTCTGATTGTGCAAACTTTGGACTACTTACAATCACCTGCAGTCTAGTTTGTGGTGTGCTCTAAGTCTATTTCAATATCCTACAGGGTGTTTATCCGTACAAATCGCGTGCTGTGGTGTTGATGGAAATTCAACATTTGAAAGCACGTTTATATGTCTGGCTGTAGCTGAGTGCGCAAAGATGCTTGCCAGAATTTGTTGATATCCAGAGAGGGTCAGGCTTCGAATTCCACTGCAGGTAAAATGCAAATTAAATATATATATTTTTTGTTTCTTATCTTGATTATTCGCTTAACGGATGCTTTTTCAGAACGAACGCGGTCATTTTAATATGCGCGTAATTGAATTGATTATTTACCAATATACAGTACGTATGATTGTATCAACATGATGGTGTCGTGAATGGTGAAATTAGCTTAATTTTATAAGACATCAAATCAATTTTTTTTAACATTTAGGGCGTGTGTGAATCGGTAACAAAGTTCTATGGGCAAAGCTGTTGAATAATATTTTTACTATGGTGAGACAGTTTTGCCAATCTGCTGTGTGAAATGAAATATTTTTTTTACAGCAGTAAATTTTTGATAACCGCACATTTATGCGGAATAAAATATTACAAATTGAAGTGAAATTAATATTTTGAGAAAACATCTACCATCGTTGACTGCAATTCATCAATTTAAGCTTTTATTTAACGAAAAATTACACACATCAACAATCTTTGCGATTGGCAAAATTTTCTATGCATTTGTCAAAAATTTCACTAGCCTCATGAGTTAGGGGTTGGCAAAAATCCTCCTAGGTATATCCTCCAAGCGGGTGCCGACTGGGCAATGGGCATCGCTGCGGGCACCGCTGCGGTCGGACCTACGCCACAGCGGTGAAAGTTGGCGGGGCCTAGCAAAGGCCGAGGTATAAACTCTCCTGTCTCCTCTAGTGGCTCGCCCAAGNTTCACCACATTTTTCTCAAAATCTGGAGCTGAAGGAAACTTTATACTTAGGATTCTTAATCAGCACAAAAAGCCTATCAAAAACAGCCTTAACATTTGCCGCATCAAAATCGGTGTTGCCCTGTGTTACCTACACTAATTATATAATAAAGAGAAGCTTCTTCTTTTTATAAGAGGAGATCTCGCGAGCGGCTGTAATGATTTTTTGAAATTTTGAACACCTACTGCAGATTTATACACGGTCGCCGAACGGTTTCGGCTCAGTAGGCGACCAAAGAACCAGATATGAATACCAACAACAAAGAAGCCCTGGATCCCTGCACGGGTAAAAATGCCGCCGACGGACACGGCGTTATAAATAGTCAAGATAGATCTTCGGTAGCCGCTGGATCGGTCCCGAAGAAGCCTTCACGGCCATTTAAACTAGTGATTGAGCCCAGTGTTGGTAGCTGCAAACCCTCGGAGGGTAGCGAGCGACTGGCGACTGGGATGTTAACGGAGCCTACACGGCCGATGGATATTTCGTGCCAGGCGTCCTCATCAAGAGCGGCAATGAGCACACCCCTTGAGGGCAGCTCTAAAGCAGCTCCGGTTGGGGGCGTTACTGGCACCCGGGAGCCCTGCACGGGCAATAGGAATGCCAACCACAAACCCCCTGT